AATTTATGCAAGAAACTCCTCTCTCCATGCTCCAGTCACACCCATCCGTCCCACAATCCTCAGACTTGAACGAAGATGCAGAAGAACACGTCATCCTAACGAACAAGGATAAACTGAACAACAACAGAAAGTCGGAGCCTCGAACCAAAGCAGGCAGCCAAATAAAAAGAACAAGGGAGGGAATGGAGCGTAGCCGCAGCGCCCCAAAAATGGACGTTCAGGTAAGACAACGTCCGTTTTCCAGAGCGCTGCGACTACGCTCCATAGCTGGGATATACCCAAGCTTAAACCTCCAGGGCGGAAGGCTGACTGCCCCCCAACATAGGCTCCGACAGAACACTTTGTAGCACTCGCCGTCCGAAAGAAGCTTCAGCTGAAGCGAAAACATCTAACCGATAATGTTTAATGAAGGGGGACAACGAGGTCCAAGTGGCTGCTCGACAGATGTCAGACACTGAAGCCTGCGTAGCCCAAGCCACAGATGTTGCCGCACTGCGGGTTGAGTGAGGCAGGATCCAGTCCAGCGGTGGCTGTGCCTGCTGCTCGTACGCCGAAGCGATGCAGGCCTTGATCCACCGGCCCACTGTGGTAGATGACACCTTTTGACCCATGGAAGTTGGGTGAAGTCCCCGAACCACTGCCTGGGCCAGAGCCGGCGGAGGGACCATTGAAGCTTGTTGGAGGCCGGCCGCCAGAATGGAAGACAGGGCCGATGACAGCACGGTCTGAAAGTCCAACTGTGGGCACACTGTTGGCAGAGCCGCTGTCCGGAGGCCCGCCACAGTGGGGGTGAAGGTGGCTTCTGGAGGCTGTCGGCGGGAGGTCGGAGCTGGACCCAACCCAGCAGATGAAACATCTGGCAGGGATTGAGAGACACCCTTAACGAACTGTAACGGTAGCGGAGAGGAACCCCGGGAAGCGGACGGACCCGCCTCCGAAGGTGTAGTCTGCCTAGTAGTAGACTCCAAGCCTGAAGATCTGGAAGTCACCAGTCTGGCCTTATCGAAATGTTTTTCCAGGGCCTTGTGATGGCGTAAGGCGTCTTTGTCAACCACCTTGGGATGATGGGTATCGTGGCTGCTGCCCACAGACCGCTTACCCGCCCTTTTCTTTTGCGCCTTGACTCGTGGGGGACTCGCCTTCTGCTCGAGGTCCGAGGAAAGCGAGGAATCAGCCATGATGGGGCAATCAAGTGTTGACAACAGCGGCCGTACAAAGGCGCTCTTTTGGGGGGGAAGGGGGGGAAGTCAACTGTTCAAGGTCCCAGAGGCGGGGGGGGCTGAGCCGCCAGCAAATGGTAACAAGTCAGGCACCCCAAGAGGTGTGGTAATAAACCTCAGTCTCAACCACGTGTTCCCTCAACCACAGCAGTTGTTCAGCAAGTCTAAGGCCAGGCAAAATGGCGGATGCTCAATCAGGCGACCAAATAGCGGCCGCAACTGATGAGTACTGGCCGGCTTCCACTGCACTTCAGGTGAGCCGAAGGCCAGGTGAAATGGCGGCGTCTGTACCGATGTTAAAATGGCGGCCGCAACTGATCAAAATAAAATGGCTGCCCCACGCTGCACTGCAGGGCTGAATCAGGCCCCGGCGGTTGAAAGGACTCACTGCCGGTCGCACAGGGACGATTTCAACGGCGCCGCCCGCAGAGACCTGACGGGACAGCTGCCGAGTGCCAGACCGCACCAGAAATTAGCTCGTTGGAGAGCGCACAAAGGCTGCGCTAACGCTCCGCCACGCCGCCACCCTAAAGGGAGAGCCCAGAGGATCTACTCGAGGTGGGGTGGGACAGTGGCGGCGAACTGCTTCGCCCACGCTCCCACAGGCGGCTAAAAGTCAAGCGGGATCCACTCTTGAGGGTCAGAATCCAGCGGCTGCCTCAGCACAAAGCGCTACGGCATGGGATGGCACGGAGCGCCCGGACACGTCGCCGTGCCTCACAGCTGACTGGCGGTCTCCAAAATACTCACACGGAACTCTTCGGCTCTCCACCGTAAGAAAATACTTAATCAAAAATAAAGCAACAGCCTAAACGAACTAGCCAAAGATGTATTTATTCGAGCACAGAGAAAAAAACACCTCAGTCTGACAGCAACTGAGTGAAAGACTGGGGATTGTGGGACGGATGGGCATGACTGGAGCATGGAGAGAGGAGTTTCTAGCATAAATTTCCACTCAGTTGTTGACAGACTCTGAGGAAGAACCCAGCTATGGAGCGTAGCCACAGCGCTCTGGAAAATATATCATTTCCAATTTTGTTCTCCCATATTTTCACAATGGGAAAAATATGGCAGAACAAAATCATGTAATTTAATATTAGGTGGATGACAGAAACAGCAAAAAAATATCAAAAAGAACACAACTTCTGTTTTATAGACTACTCCAAAGCTTTTGATTGTGTTGATCATTTGAGACATTAGAAGCATATCAAAGCAATGGGTATATGTGTGTGTGTGTGTTTTTTTATTATTCACAACTTTATTACACACAAATCAACTAAGAAGCCACAATGAAACCTATAGCTTACATATTTGCAGCAGATACCAGGATGCCATTAAATATATTTAGGGTCTGTGTAATGATATTACTGTCCACTGTTGTTATTTCAATGTAATGTAAAGTTTAATGTAAATACCTCTGGATCATAATTATTCTGGCAGTCATGTTTTGAAAATCATGCTTCCTCTAGTAGTTATTTTGTGTACATTCGTGAAATATCTCAAAATCTGATATGTCAGTTACCAACAGATAATTTTTTATCCTTAAATAAGAGCATGGGTGCTTCCTATTAATATACAACTTTAATAGAATCTAATGCTAGCTTATTAGAGAGGCAGGTTGGTGTAGGTCTTAAGCCACCAGGTGAGAAACCATGAGTTCTCGTTCTGCCTTAGGCATGACACCAACTGGGTGATCTTGGGCCAGTCACACACTCTCAGTCTTAGGAAGCAGGCAATGTCAAACTAGTTTGGAAATCTTGACAAGAAAATTACAGGGCCTTGTCTAGGCAGTCGTCAAGGGTCATCCCTGACTTGAAAGTACACACAGACATACAAAAATAGCACATAATCCCAACATATAAAACCAGAATGAAACAGGTATCCCTGTGCAAGTCATTGACTAATCAATCAAATATTACCTACTTATTGTAAGCATGCCATCCCAGAATATCTTTTCTCCTAATTTTAAATTCTAGTTTCAGTTCATTTGTACATTACCACTTTCTCACAAAAAGTCTCAGGACAACTTAAAAACTAAAGAAATTCTAATACTACCTGTCAAATTTAGGATAAATAGAAGCACCAAATAAAATGAAAGGGTACCTTAATGTATAATTAAGGAAATTAATGCATAATTAAGGAAAACACTAAGATTTCAACACATTGATTGCAGAGGTGCTAGATGCTCAAGCAAGAGATTATCCAAGTATGAAAAGCCTGGGAACTTGTCCTTTTAACATTATTTGCAAAACTTACATAATTAGTCAAGGACATAGTATAAGGCATACATTTTTATTGCACATTTAGTATATTCTTGTATGTGCAGAAAAAGTAGAACAGAAATATTGCAGTAAAAGGGATACAAGACTAACAGGTCTGGAGAGGGTGAAGGAAAATAGGAAAATTTAAGTATTAATTTTCTGTAATACAGGTAGTTCTTGACTTACAACTGCACCTGGGCCCAAAATTTCTGTTGTTAAGTGAATTTTATCCCATTTTACAACCGTTCTTGACAGTTGTTAAGTGAATCACTGCAGTTATTAAATTAGTAGGATTGTTAAATGAATCTGGCTTCCCTATTGACTTTGCTTGTCAGAGGATTTTAAAAGGTTATCACATAACACTGGGACATGGCAACTGCCATAAATATGAGTCAGTTACCAAGCATCTGATTTTTGATCACATGACCATGGGAATGCTGCAATGGTCTTAAGTGTGAAAAACAGTCATAAATCACTTTTTTCAGTGCCATTGTAACTTCAAATGGTCACTAAATGAACTGTTGTAAGTCAAGGACTACCTGAATACTGTAGCTAAATAACAACTGTAGGTCAGGCTGTGGCAAAGGAAGAATAAGATAATATAATTTCAAGTACCGTATTTTTCAGAGTATAAGACACACATTTTCCCCCCTAAAAGAGGCTGAAAATTTGGGTGCGTCTTATACTCCAAATGTAGCTTTTTCAAAGCTTTTTTTCAGCCATAATGAGGCGCTAGCAAGTCTTCTGGGCTTTGCCTACTTCCTCCGAATCTCAGCTGTGCTTTAGAAGCTTTTTTTCAGCCTTAACAAGGAGCTAGCAAAGTGAAGCGATCTCCGTGCTTTGCCTCCTCCCTCCATCTCTCAGCTGTGCTTTAGAAGCTTTTTTTCAGTGAAGCGATCTTCCGTGCTTTGCCTGCTCCCTCCAACTCTCAGCTGTGCTTTAGCTTTTTTTCAGCCTTAACAAGGTGTTAGCAAGTGAAGCGATCTCCGTGCTTTGTCTGCTTTTCTTATTGCTTCTCTCTCCAAAGATCAGTTGTGTTTTAGAAGCTGTTTTTTATCCCTAAGCAGGTGATAAAAAGTGTGCATGCTCAAAACCAGCGAACTAATGTGATGAAGCTGACCAAACTAAGGACGCTAGCCAGATGAATACCTGGTAAGCAGATTTTTTTCCCCTATTTTCCTCCCCAAAAACTAAGCTGTGTCTTATACTCTGGTGCGTCTTATACTCCGAAAAATACGGTAGATTGTTGAAGAAACTTCCATTTGTTATCCTGCCTTAAAACATACAGAATGAAAAGATTTTTCCAAATTATTTATTTATACACATATACACACACACGCACATCACATGAGTTTAGTTCAGGCATTTATTGGTGGTTTTGTTTTGTTTTTAAAGTTTAGTGTGTCATTATTCAAATGGAATTATGAACAATCTTTCTGCCATATATTTTAATCTATTCTGAAAGATGGATATATTTTGATATTCAAATAACAATGATCCTTTAAAATGCATCACTTACCAGTAACTACTATGCTGCTCATATTAGAGTTCGGGCTATTGAGTACACTGCCTGAAAGAAGTTCGTCAGATCCTCTCTAAGAAAGAAAGAAACAATAAGCAGTTTGCCATCTAAAAATACAAAATTGGTATTAATAATGTCAAAATGACATTAAGTGAAAATCTAAAGCAAGGAAACTATTTAGAGAGTTATCACTTTTTTTGCACTAAACTTTCAGGTGTCCGTTTAGAAGATACTAACTTATTTACATCTATTTTTTATTCAGTTACAATAATCTCTTCAGGTGAGACTAAAACAAAAGTTACTTATCCAAATCCCCATGAAAATAGCAGATAAGAGATCTAAATTACAAACATCCCATTTGAAAAATGAGAAGCAACTAAATTATCAGGACAGTATTTCCAAAGTAGTGGAGGCCCTTGAAGCTATAGATATACAGTGTTTTTTAAGTTTGCAAACCCTTTTGAATTTTCAGTATTTCAATATTTTTCAATATTTCTGCATAAATATGTCTTAAAAGGTTATTTTTTCTTCACACTAGTCCTAAAATTAGACAGAGAGAGAACCAAATTAAACAAATGAGTCAAGAGAATACTTATTCACCTATTTATTGAGGAAAATGGTGAAAATGAATTTCTTCTGCTATAACCATTTTTTGGTTGTCTTGTTGAAAGACTCAGTTTCTCTTGAGCATCAATTCACAGACAGATACCCTGACACTTTCCTGTAGAATTTGCTAATACAATTCAGAATTCATAGTTCTACCAATGAGGGCAAGCTGTCCTGGTCCAAAGGGAGCAAAGAAGGCCCCAAAGCATGATAATGCATGTTTCACAGATGGGATAAGGTTCTTCTGCTGGAATGCAGTGCTTGCCTTTCGCCAAAAAGAAAACTTTTCATTCAAGCCCAAGAATTTTATTTTGGTTTCATCCAGACACAGAAAATTCTTCCAATAGCTTTCAGGCTTATCCAAGTCATCTTTTTTTTTTTTAAAAAAAAATAATTTTATTGAATATACATTTTAAAAACATTAGACTTGGTGCGACTTGTCTGGTACATACTTTTCTAACACTTTTTCTTTCGTGTATATTACAATATAACATCATGCATATTCCATATATACTTTTTGTACATTCAATCACACTTCAGTTACATAGATATTCTCTTCTCATCTTTCATAAACTATAGATGGGCAGCAATGTTCCATTTGGATACTGGTGGAGTTCAAACTCTTTTGGAGTTTTGTAACCTTTTGTTAGTTTTGTAATCTTTTCTAAACTGGTGGGCATTAATAACTGTTTTTTGTAGTTCACAGACATTTCCTCTATTTGAGCCATGCCACACTTCCAAATACCTGTGTTGTGAACATCAGACTGAGCTGTGGTGGTATAGTGATACGAATGTTAGAAAACAATATTGCAGACAAACTCTGCCCACAGCCAAGAGTTTGATCTTGACCGTCTCAAAGCTGACCCATCCTTCCAAGGTTGGTAAAATGAGGACCCAGATGGTTGGGGGCAATATGTTGGCATTAACTGCTCAGAGTGCTGTAAAGCACTATGGAGCAGTACACTCATATTCATAATCAATTATCATCCCACTGATTGAAACACGACTCTAATTTCTCCTTCAGAAAAAGTGATTGAAACAGATGGCTCTAATTTCTCCTTCAGAAAAAGTTTTAAGTAATTCTAGAGTTTAAGTAATTCTAGAGTTTCACATACTTTTTGCACTACGCAAATATGTGGATTTGGGTCATTTTCCTCAATAAGTAAATGAACAAGTATAATATTTTTGATTCAATTTTTAATTGGGTTCTCTTTATCTAGTTTTAGGGTTTGTATGGAGAACTTCCCACATTTTAGATCATATTTATGCAAAAATATTGAAAATTCAAAAGGGTTCTGAAACTTTTAAGCACCATTGTATCTTCATCTTCCTTTGATTTTCATGGCAAAGGAAAATGGGGGAAGTTTTAAAAACTACCATTTTGCAGAGATTTTGAAAGAGTCAAGAACTGAGGTCAGATTTAACCCATAGAGATTCCATATTTCCAATTTAAAGCTGCAAAAATCAAGAAAAAAAGTCTAGTGGTTAAGGAACCAGATAGAAAATAGGAGCTGTGAATTCAATTCCTGCCTGAGCCATAAAAAACGGCCCCGGTAACTATAGGCCAGTCACTGCCCTCTTGGCCCAACCCATCTCACAGGGCTTTCATTGTGGGGAAAGTAGGAGGAAGAGGAGAGTGTGTTGGATATGTTCGCTGCCTTGAGTTATTTGTAAAAATAAGGCAAGATACAGAAAAATAAATAAATAAGTCTCAAAAGCAAATCAAGACCACATGAAGCACTGGTTATACAAACTGATTAGGAGGTTAGAACAGCTTTCCCTTCCAGAAATGACTACAGCATTTTAGTGTTTTGATCTTGGAGCTAAAGTAAAGAAGGAAGACATCATACTGGGATATAAAACCATACATTTGTATATACAATATGAATAAAGAGGAGCTTTCTTCCTCTCTTCAAGAAACAACGCACTAAAACAAAATATAGGTGGAAGCAGATAAAGTAAGTATTTCTTTACCAAATGCATCATTAAACTACAAAGGTTGATACCATAAAACATGATGATAACTATTGAGACACTGGAGGATTTTTTTTATTAATATTATTTAAATTTATATACTGCCTAATTCTCAGTAATTTTGGGAAATTTACAAACTGCTTGCAACATTAAAAATAAAACAAGAAAAACAACAAGAAAGAAAAAGGGTAAAGAATAGGATTATTAATAATTAAATTAATAGCTATGTATTGCTTACCCAAGAACCTCGTCATTGCCGAAAAACCGCTGAGAATTCAAAGAATTTAACTCTGCCTTTTTGCTGTGAGGACTCTTCCGAAAGCACGTCTTTTTTGGGCTCAGACTGAGTCAAAACTGGGACACAGTCAAAACTGGGACACAGTCAAGAGAGGCGGGGCTGCAAAGTTTAAAAGGACTCAGTCTCTGGGCAGAACGGCAGAATCCATCATTCTTTGGATTCTTTGCTCAGCACACTGGAGAACTGTAAAGTCACATGGTTGTCATTTTCTTGTTCATGATTGTGAACTTCCAAAAGAATCTGTTGGCCAATACGTAACGCAAAATACTGAAATAAAAGGGCTCTTCCATGACAGGTAGTCCTCAACTTATAACTACAGCCTTAGAGAAAGTGATTTACAACCCATCCTTCAATTATGATCATCACATCGATTCTATGGTCACCTGATTGCAATTGGGCACTCAGCAACTGGCTCATATTTGTGATGGTTGCAGTATCTTATGTGATTATGATTTGTGATCTACCCAGTCAACTTTTGACAAGCTAAGTCAATTGGGGAAGCTGGATTTGTGTGATTCTCTTAACTGAAGTAAAAAGGATCCAGTCACATGATACTTGCTTAATGACAATGCTTAGTGATTGATATTCTGGTTCAATCGTGACCATAAATTGAAGACACCTGTATTCTTAATTGATAGTGCTGGGATTATGTTAATATTCATTCCCACTTAACTGCCATATTGCGCATTTGTATTTCCACCTACTTTATTGCATTGTTTTTAACATGTTCATAAAAATAAATAACACTTTAGCTGAACAATAGGCACTGCAATTTATTGGTTCCATTTGCACATCGTGCAATGAAGACATATCCAAAAGCATCCTTCCCAACAAGCTAGGGCAACTTAATTTAACAGGAGACACCAAGTTGTTGAAAAAGAGATTCATATATTTTCCCTGACCTGATATGCTATTATTAGACAATAAAAATTGTTTTATCTTGACTGAATTACTTTTGTTAAATATGCACACTCCTTTTCAGGGTAATTAATTGTGCAAAGCATAGAATAACAATCAGAAGTAGTAATAGCCTGTCTTTGAACCCTGGTTTGTCAAAGGATGGACAAAGCAGGAAACTAATTTCATATGTAACATTCGATTTTTCAATCTTTGCTAAATTCACAAGAAAACTAATGAATTCTTTCAGTTGAGCTCAACTTCTGCATGAGCAACTGAATATTTGCACAATTATCTTCACTACAACATGGAAATAGTTCAATGTTGCTTTCTTCTAGGACATTTTTTGACATCCCAATGAGGCCTTCAGCCCAATTCCCTAACCGTCTTCCATCCATATACTAACTAAGTCCAACTCTGCTGAACTTCCACACCTGGATAGGATCAGAGATGTAACAGTTTCCATATGCAAGAGTCAAATTATTAGGCTCCATACATGAGCATATTTCCTCATGTGAATTCAATAATTGGTTTGAAAGATAATGTTTTTAATAAATCCTGAAGGTTTAATTGAAGATTTACTCAAAATTTAAGATAGGAATATTTGATAACTTTCACTTAGCTTTACAGAAAACTGTAAAACTGTTTTTGTTAGCCTCAATTCCATAAACATATTGAGCTGCCATTATATTTTAAAATAGTTTCCATCTATGTAAAGAAAGTTATATTGACAATTACAACTGCCTCTTAAAATGCTTTTTAAGGACAGTGTAAAAACTTTTGTAGTACAACTTTCCAACATTTTTGGAAACCATTTAAATAATCTTCTTGCAATATAGTTGAGTCATTGATTCTCCTTTAGCGTATACTTCTACACTGTAGACTTTTTCCTTGCCACTCTTTCCAATGCCACAAAAATATTAAAATTAAGCAGATTGTGTTTTCCAGTTTTCAACTAATTTGTATAGAAAGTAAACTTGAGGTCAATATGAAAGTCAAATATTGATTTTAAAAGGTATCTGGCTTCATCTATAGCAATGATTACATGGAATCTCTGCATATTTGTACAATACTTAACATTGGGGAATATGATATAAAGCATATAATCAACTACCATTCATACACTAATTCCCAGGTTGATAAATAAGGAAAACTTGCCATGCACTTGTAAGGCAGAACTTTGATAATTTATTATGGGAAAAGAGGGGCAAGAGATTGGTAACAATTCTAGGCTAAATGTGACAATAACAAGCCTGCAACCAACACCAATCCAACCATCCCCTATTATCTGACTTTGTCACATCAGATATATAGTCAGCTCCAGGAGTTTGCCTCATTCCAAAAAGGGCCAAAAGAAGGATTAGAGATCATTTACTCTAGATGATTATATTTACCATACTCTCATCAGTCTTGGGGATGAGACCAGGATGTCAAGAAAGTCAAAATGGCATGTTTGATCAAGTGATTGAAACCCTGTCTCTGTGTTTCAATACATCACATTTATATTAAAAAGGACTGAGACTTTCACTGCCTCATTGCATCCACCGTTTTGAAACTGATTCCTTTTTACAAACACCCATTTATTTATATCCTTAAAGAACTACTGCCACAATTCTCTGAAAACTTCACAGATTATTGTAAAATATGTTTTACATATTTATCTAACTCACTGGAGCACAGAAAACTCTTCCAATGGTTCTGCTTAGAGGAGTTCATAAAGAAGATTAAACTAAATGATTTTCCTTGAAGAAAGGTACTACAGCCACCCATAACAGATACATGGGCCCCAAACCCTTGTTTTTAGTTTGATTGTTTATTTAACAGCTTAGAATTATTCAATTAATTCACTTCTTTCTTAGCTTCAAAGGAGCCAAAATGTTTTGCTTTCTTCTAGTATTATTACTTTGCATGTATGTTAAGTGATTTACAGTTAATGGTTACTGTTAATTACATAATTACTCTGTTGATTATGGACTAAAGTGGCTATCTTTCATTACCAGTATATGATTATCAGTGATGATGTTGACAAAATAAACTATCTACTCACAATTGTCTGAACATGGCAAAATTGACAATTCTTTCATTTGTACTTAAAAGTGTCCAATAAGTTCTACAGCATTATTTAGATATATTTAGATTTATATTTAGATTATTTAGATTTGTGGGGGTCCTTGGTGCTCTCTGAGTTTAATTGTTGTCTTGCAGACATTTCATTACCAAACTAGGCAACACTAGACTACTGATGATATTCCCCACAGTTCAACCCTGAGCTACAAACATTCTCTTATATATAGATTTCCCAATGAATGTTTCTATTTCCAGTTCAAGACTTCTGAGTATGATGGAATAATCCCCCAGAAAACCAAAATTTTCATTTCAAAAATCTAGCGCCTCATGTAAAACTTTCATCTGCAACCAGTATTAGCATAATGTAATGCTTTCTTTTTTTCTCAGTAACTCACAATGTAATATGGTTTACCCTTATAAGTAAATCACACCAATATGATTTGTTTCAGAAAACAATGAAGTATTTTGACTCAGTATTCTGTGCAAATCAAACTTTTATTTAAATTAGTATTATGTTATATGTAGACCAGGATTACAATTTCTCTAATATAACAATAATTTCTCATCTCTGTTTCTACTGAAACAAAGTAAGCCTAAAGGGGAGGTCAGAAATGGATATATACATGTAATATATAACTGAAAAAGAAAGTAATGTGTGAAGGCCATTTTTTTCATACAATATAGCAAGCCTAAATTTTACTTACTGCAGCCTAAATTCTAATTTTAGAGACACACTGTTTAAGGACAGTATTTTTTTTATTAAAAAATCAAAATTACAGTAGCCCAAATTTTAAAAACTCCCTTTTTACAACCCTGTAATTCCTTAATTCAAGGTAAATAAGATTACAAAAGTTATCATCCGCACTCTAATTATACTTGACTCTCCAAGAATGCCCCTACTTACAAAGGTAAGTGCATATATCATATAAAATCAAAATGTGGCTTACTTATTTGTGATTTTGTATGCTATATGAACCCAATCCAACAATTTATGCCTCATTAGAAGGTATTCAACAGTTACAAATCCTCTTTCCTTTGGTATGTTGTTACATTATACTCTATTGATTTAGATACAAGAAAACCTTTCCTAATATTAATATTATAGTATTATTAACAAAAAATCTTTACAATTTGGCTTCTATTGTATTTCAAACTCTGATTTCAGGAACAAACATCTTCAAAAATGGGGAATATGCATGCTTGTGATACAATTTCTTGGATTTGATCCTAACTTATTCAGAGTGAAATTTTGAAAGAAAAGTTTACCAACAGTTTGCAGAAGATATAAAGTCCAAAGTTAAAATAACCAATCAAGACAAGGAAAAAGGAAAAGCAAACCAAAGTTAAGTCCATAAAATAATATTCCAAGCTGTTTAGTGAATAAAATTGTTTGGGGCATGTATCCACACACTCTCAGACATAAATCATGAATTACAAAGCATACTGACTAGATTTACACTCCACATCAAAACCAAACATGACAAATCATGGTTTAATGCAATGTGTAAACCAACAGATGTATGAACTGTTAAGTATTAAAAGCACAGGGCAAGAAAAATTGTGCAGGCGAAGGAGTATACATATTTACAGCACCATTCCATTGCTTGAGATATAAAAATTGCAAAGACTATGTCTAGACAAGGCCTCTAAGAATAATAAAAACAGAAGGCCTTGAGAATGTTGCTAATATTGCTTAGCTTGAGATTCTTTCCCCCCCCCCCAGTACTATTGTAAAAACCCTGGATTAGAAGTGTGAAAATTCCCTATCAATCATCTAATTTCCTGCAAGCTTTTCAATGTTTTAATTCATTTTATAGCTGGCTGTAATTACATTTAGATTCTGGTGCTTATGATAAATAATTTGGGGGTTTTCTACTAACTTCTAGGTTGCTTGAAGTTTCTAGATAAAAGAATGACAACCAATCACCAAGATAATACTATACAAATTTCGAAATAAATATTTTTAGACCAATGCTTTCATTATTCAACATTATAATTTAAATTGATTACATACCTTCACACCAACTGCAACATCAGTAACAATGCTGGAAAGAAAAAAAATCAGATTTTAGAAGAGGAAATGTATTTTTCTCCACCAAGGCAAATATTTTTCATAAAATCAAGTATTCAATTTGCTATTTAACTTCCTGTTTACTTAAAACGGTGGTAGGGAAATTGGAATACATTTGCATTTTCATATTACTATATTTATATTGTAAATTAAATTTATATGCCATCCATGTCGCTGATTCAAAGCAGGACTCTCATATTAAAGGTAAATTATTGTATTGAATAAGAAACAAATTTCTTCTTCCCTGCTTTTTTCCCAGAACTTTCTACAGAGTTTCTCAAAATCTGTTGTGGTAGCTCCCATCCTCCACAGTAGTTTGGATTTATGGTTAGCTACATAGAGAAGGAGTTTCCATTCAACTGAAATTGGTACAATGAGAAAACTTGAGGGGCTGCCTTTTCCCAAGAAAATCTGCCTGTCCCACATACTCACATGGAGAGGGCATGCTCTAGTTTCCTTCTTTTAAATATGGATAAGTATCTACAACCTTTTCTGTAATTACTCTTGTTCTCTGAACAATCTTCCAGCTGATGTCTGACTGGCCCCAAATCTGCTTGCATTAAAGACCTGGCTTTTCTTCCAGGCATTAGGGACCCCAGTTGAATTGATCCTTCTTTAGTTGTTCTGTTGTGGTCGTCAGTCACCATTTTTTTCTGTATTTTATATTTATCTTTTTTAATGTTATGTGGGGTATTGGTTTATGGGTTTTTTTGTTGTATGCTGCTGTTGGCCCTATGAAGTGGTCCAGACAGGAAACCAAAACTATGAGTTTTGATATTACCTTTATTCTCAGGTTACAATAACAGAATATTGCAAAACTAAAAGCACTTTCCCAATCCTCTGCCTTTACTTTTCCAGAGGAATAGGAAGGATATCTTCTGAGATGTTTTCTCCATCCTATCACTGAAATGGTATAGGGTTTCCTGCCTAAGCAGGGTATTGGACTTGAAGACCTCCAAGGTCCCTTCCAACTCTGTTATTCTATACTGCTTTGTACTATTTTCATTGATCAAACCTTTATTTAGGCTGTGGCTCTTCCTTCTCAACTCACAATGTTCTTCCTCACAGCCCTTTATATCTGCCCAGAGTCATATTGAGTTGGGTGTCCTTATAATGCTAGTTGATTAAGAAGTGCAATTAAACAGACTGCTCTAAACCAAGTTATTTTTTACACTTATTGTATTAAAATGCTAACTTTTAAGTGTTTTGATTCATGGCACAGTAAATAGCAGCAGACCAAAGAATACCCTATATGCCACAAATACATATAAAACAGAATCATGATAAGGGGTTGAAATTAATATATTTTAAACACTGTAATTATACTGTAAAACCTAATATTTTGAGTTCCCTTAAATTCAATTTATATGAAATTAAATACAAACAACCAATTCCTTTAAAATCGAGGGGGGGGGGGTTTCATCATATACTGAGATATATTTGACCCCAAGACTGGGTTTTGATAAGTGTCTTACAGTATAGCTATCACAGAATCAGTTGTTGTATAAAATCACCATAATCATGTTTGGATACTTCTCAAAACCCCATAGTGATTATAAAATAGGGTGGATAAAAATCAATGATTTTAAAAAAAAAATTAATCAATTTTTTTATTTAAATTGGATTTGTTTTATTTTTATCAAATTTATTTTAATAAAATGCTTTTGGAGTAAAAATCTATCAAAAGATAGTTTTCTATTTAAGATACTTTTTTTTTTTTTTTTTGGATTTGATTTATATGCCGCCCTTCTCCGGAGATTCAGGGAGGCTTACAATGCGTTAAGCAATAGCCTTCACACTTTTGTATATTTATACAAAGTCAGCTTATTGCCCCCACGATCTGGGTCCTCATTTTACCTACCTTAGAAAGGATGGAAGGCTGAGTCAACCTTGAGCCTGGTGAGATTTGAACTTGCAGTAATTGCAGGCAGCTGATGTTAACAACAGTGCAAGTCTGCTGCGCCACCAGGGCTCTTTAATAATTTAGTTTATTCAGCATGAAATTGAGCTTAGTTATATAGCATGAGGCTGTATATTCTGCAGTATTGGGACTGCTGGTGAATCAACAGGTCAGAGCAGGAGCTGCTGCAGGTCAGAGATGACAGTTGCTCTTTAAAAATTATGATTTAAATCGAGTTGATTTAAATCAAGCCTTTTTACTAGTGATTTAAATCGTGATTTATATCAAGTTGATTTAAATCAAATCCACCGTTATAAAATTACACTGAATTATCTTAGAAAACGCATCTGAGTAATGAAGTCATTGTTACCAAACTGATTATCAAGCAGCATGTCAAGAAATAATCATAATATCATGTTATAAAGGCAACTTGCTAAATGTATTTACCAGCATGTACTAGAAGTTTAACAAACTAAGACCATGATCAAGGAAATTAAGTTAACATTTATTATTTATTTATATAAATGTATTGGCTGCCCAACTCCGGTGGATTTCCGGCAGTATACAATACTAGGAGAAAAAAAAACCCAGCTAAAAACATAAAATCAAACACACAGTCCAGAGTAAAATAATCAGGACAATAAAATCAACAAAACAAAACCAAGGCTTTAAAAATATCATAAGAATCAAGCCTGGCCTGGGACCACACACTTTCCTGAACCCTAGAAAAGTGCAATTGTCATGGGGGGAGGGGATATGTTGTTCCAGAAGTTGGGAGCCACAACAGAAAAGAATCGCTTCCTAGGTCCCACAAGATGACAGTGTTTAATGCAGAGGACTTGGGAGTGCGCCCATTCTTGTTATTGCAAATAAGCAGTCTCCGGAGTGCTATCCAGAGCCTACAAAGCTTTATAGGTAATAACCATATACATCATTATCAAGAATGGACTGAATAAAAATAACAAAACTAGAGCATACCACTTTAGCTCATTATTACCATTGTAGTTGGTCACACAGTCACATATTTAGACTGGATTTGGTATTTTTATCCACCAATTAAGTCCTTTCCAAGGGCCTGGGATAGGTAGACGTTGTCTAATGGTGTGAAGGTTATCACCGCAGCATGTAAGCTGTCCCAAATAAAGCTGTTTTTTTTACAATTGATTGATGGTGTTCAAGTGATGCTATTCATGATTTGAGATCGCCTATTGTTATTGCTACTATCTTTGCTTTCTTTTACAATATATTATTTTGAAAAATTTGAAATTAAACCTGAATAGTAGTCCATTATTCTATATTGATTGGACCCAAATGGAACTTGATAACTTGAATTGGAAGCCAAGAAAAAATGACAATGCACAAACCTTGCACCCCAAAAATGACATTGATCAATTGTATTTGGCAAGAGTTGAGGAGTATAGAATTCCTACAAGTGAAGCAAACTGGAGGATACAACCAGCATCTAAACAGTTAATTCACTTGAGTATTTACAACCAGCATCTAAACAGTTAATTCACTTGAGTATTTACAACCAGCATCTAAACAGTTAATCCACTTGTTATTTCCGGCTGGCCATGATGATGTCATTCCCCAGAAAAGTATGGCCCGAATGACTACATTAAGAAAAGCCAGAAAGCCTTGCTGAAGGAAGTCAGTCAAAGGAAAGCTCTTGAAAACAACAAAGGTGAAGACTGAATATAGAAAAGAAACAACTGAAAACCAATTTGTTAATTGGAAGAACAAGGCAATGCATTGTCAATACTTGAAGAAAATAGATTCAAAACCCTATATGGAGTTGGTTAAAAATCAAGACTGTTAAGCAAAGAAACTGAAGGCTTTATTTTAGTGACAAGAACAAATTTTGTCAACTAACTGTATTATGGTGAAAATACAACATGCAACAAACAATGGCAAATGTCACCTTTGTAGTAAAACGTATGAAACAATTGCTCTTTTGCTCTTTGGCTGCAGCAGGAGCAAAATTTTACAAATTACAAGCAGTGTCATGACTGAATTGCCAGAGGTTTGGATTTAAATATAGTAAAAACTACTGGTACCATCAAACTTAGAGAAGGTTTTGAAAAATGAGCAGGTTACGTTATTATGGGACTTTAAGATCCAAACAGAGAGGAATCTTGTTCATAACAGCCATAAGACCAGAGGGAATTCTAAGAATAAATGGCAGTAGAAATTCTGAACATGGAAAACCAAACAAAAAGGAAACAATCCAGTTTTGGAAAGATCTATAAGAAACCCCAATAGACTATAATAAAAAAACTGAATGGATAAAATAATCCGAAGATGAATTTAGTAAAATCAAATGAAAGAACTAATAATTACAGCAGAAATGATTAAAAATTAAGAAGTGGACATATCTTGGAAATTATCAATTGCATGGCTTTTGGCTCAAATATCTGAGAGGGTGACTTAGTATCATCCTTATTATTTGTCACTACTACAATATTTGAAGAAAATAAATATTGGCTACCATATTACAAAAATGCTAATAAAACCTCATGTTTGCTTTATATGGATGATCTGAAAATCTAAAATCAAAATCCAGTCACTGACAAATACAGATAGTCCTCAACCTACAACCATTTGTTTAGTGACCACTCAAATTTACAATGGCACTGAAAAAAGTGACTTATGATAATTTTTCACATGAACATTGCAGCATCCCTGAGGTCATGTGATCAAAATTTCAACACTTGGCAACTGGCTCATATTTACTTATTTGTTAAATAAATGATTCATAAACAAATAACTGGCTTATATTTATGATGCTTGCAGTGTCTTGGCATCATGTGATCAGTTTATGATCTTCTGACAAAGTCAAAGGGGAAGCCAGATTCACTTAACAACCATGTTACTAACTTAACAATTGCAATGGTTCACTTAAAAATTGTGGCAAGAAGGGTCATAAAATGGGGCAAAACTCATTTAACAACTGTCTTGCTTAGCAATAGAAATGTTGCACTCAATTGTGGTCATAAGTCACGATCTACCTGTAGAGCAAGAATATTCAGCACAAAATGTAGCAATGAGATTTGGCCTAGAGAAATGTGCTATAAAATATAATAAATTGGGATAAAAACACAAACAGTTGTACTGAAATACTGAATGGCCCAGCCATCAGGAGCCATCAGAATGAAGACTACAATTATCTGAGCATTTTACAGTTGGATAATATCAAGCATGGGACAATGTGATAAGTAAAAGAATATATCCAAAGTATGAGAAAAGTGCTGAAGAGAAAACTGAACAGTGGGAACACCATCAAAGCCACCAATAAATGGCCCATACCTATGATACAATGCACTGCTTGAATTATTAACTGGACACAAGCTGAACTGAACAGCTTGGACTGAAAAGCAAGAAAGCTAATGACTATTCACTATGTATTATATCCCCATAGTAATATTGATAGATTATATGTGCAGTACAGAAATGGAAGCAGGGGTTTACTTCAAGTCAAACAAACTATTGAAGAAAAAAAAACATATCTTGAAAGATAGAAACAACAGGCATCAAGGCAACTTCAAAATTGGAACTTATTGAATGTATAGGAAATAAAACATGTATATTGAAATAATATACAATTATTTAAAAAAGAATAGAATGCTGGCAAGGAAAAGCATTGCAGTGCATGATCAATTTCTACAAAAGATCAAGGGGAAAATGGAGAAAGATAAAATCTGGCAATGGCTTACAACTGGCACATTAAAATAAGAAACTGAAGGCTTGATTTTGGCTGCTCAAAAGCAAGCTACTCAAACTAATGCAATCAAAGCCAGAACTGGACAGACTGTACAGGGAGACAGAAGAAACAGTAGATCATATACTCAGCTCATGCAAGATCACACAAACTGATTATAAACAACAACATAACAGTCACCAAAATAGATTAATGTTCCAAACTGGAACATCTGTAAAAAAAAAATTATATGCCAGTAATGAAAAATTGATGGAAGTTTACAGTTGAAAAATGAATGTTGTGTCATTTCTGAATACAAACTGATAAAAGTCTTGGCTCATAACAAACCAGAAATAACTGTGGTTGAAAAAAAGAAAGTGTAGATTGATGTGGCAATACCAGGGATATGGTAGGATAAAAGGTAAGGAATTGGGAGTATCAAGATCTGAAACTGAAAGATTATGGCAAAAAACCAGTTGTTATTTGCACATAGGGTGCCATACCCAAAAAATCTTAGAAGGTACTTAGAAAACCTGCACATTAATACAATTTCCAACTGTCAATTACAAAAGGCCATGCTGCTTGGATCCGCACATATACTATGCCAGGGTTCAGCAACCTCTGGCTCTGGAGCTGCATGTGGCTCTTTCACCCCTCTGCTGCGGCTTCGTCACTCAAAATATGTGTCACAACCACCAATGTGCGACAACCGTTGGCACACGATTCATTGAACTTTTCAACCCCCAGTAGGCCAACCATGGATAAATCCAAGAAAAGAGAAGTTTCAGAAGAAAACAGAACGTTTAATTCAACTACATATGCTAGTTTGGTGGCCGCTCGAGAAATAGTCAGGCACGGGAAGGGTTTTGTGGCTCCCAGTGTTTTCTTTTCTGTGGGAAACTGGTCCAATGGCTCTTTGAGTGTTTAAGGTTGCAGACCCCTGTACTATGCCAATAAATTAGGACGTATTAGATTCTTGGGTAGAACTTGACATGTATGAAGGCCAACACCAGCTAAAGAACTGGCAGGTGTGATTTCACATTATTGTGTGTAATAAATAATAATAAATGATGATGATGATGATGATAATAATAATAATGGTACCTAATTATTTTCCCCTTGACCAACCAATTTTAAATCACTGACAGTTCTCAACCATGAATTCCCTAAGGCCCACATTCAAATACTCCAGCATCCTCCTGTTTAAAGTGGTATAGAGCTTTATTCCCAAAGCAAATTTAAGTACTGTAGAATTATAAGGGTGATAAAAAAAAAATCATCTTTCTTGATGTCTATGGCAGGGGCTGCTGGGCCTCCAATACAAAAAAAAAAAAAAGAGGGCCTCGTCGTGAGTCTGTGGCTACAGACTTAGCCACCCAAATATCTTCTTCCCGCCAATGGGAGAGCCCTGGTGTGTGTGTTGTTTCCATATGGCGGACCACCCCACAGCCGTTTCCTCCCTTCGGCTTTTGACAGGCGGCCTTCCACGCGTACAAAGGCATCTTTTCTGTCTCGGAGGGGGGGAAAGAAGGCCGCGGAGCAGCTCTAGCGGGGGAACAAAAGAGCAAGGCGTCTGCCCCCTGCTGCTCTCCGGTCCCTCGTCTGAGGGGAAGGGGAAAGGGGGTGTCTACTACAAAAGGGGGCCGGGGACTTGTGGAGCGCGAGCTTTCCCCAAGCCCGAATGAAAAAGAGGGCCGTTGGGGCGGGGGGGGGGAGAGAGGGGGAAGAGTCATGAAGTGTGTTAAATCCACTCCTTCAGCATTGAAGGCCTTGTTCTGATTCACCCAGCCACCCCTCCCCCGGCTTGGATAACCCGGCATCTCAAGAGACCAGCCATAGGATGATGCCTCATGTCAGCGCTTCAGTTGCTGCTGCGGGCCCAGTCCCTGAGAGGAACCAGAGACGGGAGGGGGAGGGGGGAAGCTGTCTTCCCGTCCACCTTCCCGGCCTCCTCCTCCTCCTTCTCCCCCCCACCACAAAAAAAAAAAACAAAAAAAAACCACACACCCCTTTTTCCTCTCATCCCGAAACCTCCTGGCTCGCACACCGCGAACCAGCCGGCCGAGGATGAAGGGGCTGAGGAAAAGCCTAGCACAACAAGGGATGCGCGGCCAGCTCCCCCGTCAGATACGATGCGAAGACAAGAAAGGCGGGAGAAGTGGCGGCGGCGGCGACGACGGCGACACAACTCCCTCCTCCCTTTTCTTATTCCCGGCCGCCGTCCCTCATTCACTCCCTCACTCACCCGTCCATCGCCGAACAGGACAAAGCGCTGGCGACCAGGGCAGGGAGCCGCGCAGCTAACGAGTAAAGAGAGGGAGCGAGAAAATGGCGGCCGGGCCCCAACGGAAAACACCGAAGGTTGCCGAGCTCTATTAGGTTCTGCTCCCCATCAAATCGGCGAGCTCTTTTGTTCTCAGTGAGCATGCGCGGAGGTGGCTCGGGCATGCTCAGTCCACAAGACTGAGGGTTTGGGTTTTTTTGCCCTCAAAAGATTAGGAAGGTGTAAAGACAAGGGAAATGGGATGTGCATACACGGGGGAAGCGGGGAGGGTAAGACGGACCTTGGGTTCTGCGTTTCGGTCATTAGAATATTGACTGAGGCAAAGGCATTTATTCAGGATCTCCTTCCGAGCTGCCTTTATTTACATAGAAAGATGCTTTTCAGAGTAGCTCATTTTGATCTGAGAAACCCTTTCATACCTACACTAGGCCCTGTTTTCTTTGGTGTAGTAAATATTGAGTAAATTATTTACAGGATTTTGTTAGACTTCCAGCACATCTTCAGTCAAACATAGAGTTTCTTATTTGTGATTAGCATATTTGTGACACAAGCTGATAAGGTTTTTGCAGTATTCCTCAGACTCTATATTAAGTAAAGGTTTGGAAAATGTAGGAACACTGAATCAAAAAACCCTGAATTTGCCTTTTAAAAACATGGGAGTTATTTTAAGGCATGAGATAATCATTGTGGTTGCATTTGTATATGCCTTCCCACCCGATTTTTAGAGGGGTTTCAAACTCCAAAATTGAATATTTAAATTTATAAATATGTTCCAAACCATTACCATAACTTCTAGAGCAAATTTGATCACCTGAGTGGTAAAGAGGCTAGGAGCAAGTGGAACTCTTAACATAGTTAAGTCCTGTTTTCACTATTTCTCCTAATCAGGGCTTCATTTTGGGGTTGATTATGCAAGATTATGCAAGATCATAATCAGCATGTGTGGACAATTAGTAACTTGAGACCTATTTACCATTATCCTGTAAATGTTTACATGTAGCCGCCCAGAGTTCCTAGTTATTAGTTATGCGACTAATAAATAAAAAAATAAATAAATTTCCATTGCTGAGCAAGACAATTGTGGAAAGGAAAATCCATCTGGTTCAGTTCCAAGCTGGGAGAAAGACACTGGATACATGGAGGCTGATTGCAAAGAATGGTTTATTGATGTAGCAAAATCACCAACCACATATGATTTGGGGACAGCTGTCAAAATGGAGTTGGGGAGGGGGGGTTACACCTTCTTTGGGCTTTGTATTTGAGCTTCCTGTTCCTGTGCAAGAACATGTCCTTTAATATTCTATTGGTTGTTGTCAGATTCCTATGGGGTTATGTAGGGGTCATAGCTGGCTCTATAGGCAAAAAAGGAAATGCAAATCCTAGGTACTTGTCCAAACTAATCTGGTCAACCTCTGGCTTGTTGTTTATCTGAGCTCTCAGGTTTTGTGACTTTGAACTGCTCTGGGGTGGTGCAATGAAGGGACTTGTGTTCTGAAAGGGTGTTGGACAGTTCCTATTGTGGCTAATTGTTTTCATCCTGTGTTGGATCTTGGGTGAGGGGCTGCTTTCTAATCCTACCATTCTGCCAAGGAGTTTCGAAATATCCTGTCTTGAATGGATTTCTGCCTGCAGTATTTGCTTTGCTTATGAATAGAGCTATCTAGATACCTGTCCTCTTTCAATAAGCTCTTTATCTCTTAAGTGCTGGCATCTGATGTGGGCTATTAAGAAAGACTTAGGGGCTGCTTTGTCTTTAAGAGCATGTTTCCCTGTTTCACCTTTAGGGAAATATAAAATATTTTGCCTTTTTAATATTTCCCAAAATATTTCATTCTTCTAGGAGGGGGGGCTTTCCACACAGTTAAGTGAGTTTTGCCCAATTTTACAACTTGCCACAATGAAGTGAATCACTGTAGTTGTTAAGTTAGTAATATAGTTCTTAAGTGAATCTGGCTTCCTCATTGATTTTGCTTGTAAGAAGATCACATAAGGTGATCACATGACCCTGGTATGAATACATGCCATTTGCAAAGCATCAGAATTTTGATCACAAGACCACAGGGATGCTTCAATGGCTGTGTGAAAAACAGTCATAAGGCACTATTTTTACTGCTGTTGTAACTTTGGTCATTAAATGAATGGTTGCTAGTCAAGAACTACCTGCATTTGTATTTTAATTTGGATGCTTCAGGGAACCAATTTTCATTGGCTCTCTTTATTGATCATTGTCACTTACTATTGGGGGCCATAGGGAAGCAATGAGCTGGCTCTTGCAGTAAGCCATGGATTGCTTAATGGTGATTTGCGTTAGCAGCATAATTGGCTGGAGTGATCCAATATCCTGAACTATTAACAACTAAGCTCATACATCACACTTAAGCCAAAAGCAAATAGACCACATTATGGCTAACAATATACACCCAAACACTTTGTGACCTAGTTCCACAAGTCAGCGAAGATTATGTAAACAAACCAGAAAACCTATGTACAAACATAGTATACAAACCAGTATACAAAGCACCATATTACATGTACTCGGTCACTTTGTTAGAGGTTCTATTGATATGGTTTATTGCACAACATCTTCAGGATTCTTTTCATAGTTGGGTTCACAATTTATAGCTGGGTTCACACATTGTGCTAAGTAATATTTGTTCAATGAGACAGAATAGTGTCTAACTCATAATGGCTAAGATAATATATTAAAACAAAATAAACCACATTATAACTTTACTACCTGTACTTAGCTCCAGTCATATATGCATCAGTGGTGGGTTTCAAATTTTTTTACTACCGGTTCTGTGGGTGTGGCTTGGTGGGCGTGGCTTGGTGGGCATGGCAGGGGAAGGATACTATAAAGTCTCCATTCCCTCCCCAATCCAGGGGAAGGTTACTGCAAAATCCCCATTTCCTCCCGATCAGCTGGGACTTGGGAGGCAGAGAATAGATGGGGGTGAGGCCAGTCAGAATTTTGACTACTGGTTCTCTGGACTACTCAAAATTTCCGCTACCGGTTCTCTAGAACTGGTCAGAACCTGCTGAAACCCACCTCTGACATTCATGCTGTATATTGGCAAGTAAAATTACAAAACAATGGAGACAAAAGTGATATGTGCCACCGATAGAAGTGTGCAGTGCAGTTTACTGAGTCCTTTTAGAATGTGGGGAAAGATGTTGATACAGAAAGAAAAACAAGTAAACATCCAAAAGAATCTACTGAACGGGTTGCTATTTTTGCAGATTTTTTTTCCACCACTATTTTTATAAATAACACAAGGCGGCAAACATATCTAATACTCTTTCCTCCTCCTATTTTCCTCACAACAAAAACCCTGTGAGGTGTGTTGGGTTGAGACAGAGCGATTGGTCCAAGGTCACCCAGCTGGCTTTCATGCCTAAGGGAGAACTGGAAATCAGAGACTTCTCCTTTCTAGCCTGGTGCCTTAACCACTAGACCAAGCTGGCTTAATATGTAGTTCATATGCAGTAAAATTAGCTTTGCTAATATTTCAATGTATTTTGGTTGGTAATCCTTCTATGCTTACCTAGGAATACAGATACAACATTTCCAGGAATTTGGAAGCCAAGAGGAAAAAAAATTCTTTGGGGCGAAAACTGGATTTCAAAGGGAAAATGGAATATACACAATTCTTTTTTTTAGCATCATTCACAAATACATAATTACTATGCTATCTAATTAGTACATTTCTAAATCTTTGACCCTTATTTTATCATTTGCATGTGTCTGAAAAACCAAAGGCCTGCATCTATTGAGGTGACTCTATTCTTTCACATGTTCATTTGGAATGAATATTTCCAAATATAGGCCAATTTCTTTCAGCTGTTATGTTTTAAAAAGAAACTAGCAGGAAATATTTCACCCATTTTTTTTCCAGTTGTTCAGAGAAAGCAAAAAATATCAGAAAAAGGATTTTAATGCTATTTTTTTTAACTCTCTTAGACCTTCACATTTCTAGCCAGGAATAAGTTTCCCTGAGCTAAATGGCATTTCTGAGCAAAGATGACTTGAAAAAGATTTTTAGAATAGAGAAAAAAGAATTACCATGTGGAAATAATTATTACTCCTTCCCTCCCTTTCTATAGTCAGATGTTCTGATTGCTATTCAGTTTTGAATCTCTGGCCTCCTGCAGCTTTTAGAATTAACACTGTCCCAGGAACGGCTGCCAAAGAAGACAGCTTGGGTTTTCTTTATCCAGCAGATGTTGATGTCCCTTGCAATTTTTTCTGGTCCTGATGGCAGATGCAAAAGGCATTGGGAAAGAATAGGTATTAGATTGAAATGCTGCCAAAAACTACATGGATATGTCCATGTAACCGTTAGGAGTCAACTCTACTGAAAGAAGTTTTTTACCTTTTAAATAGGGAATGAAAAATTAATTCAGAATTAGTGGTTTTTAAGGATAACTAAAAAAATAAGAGCTAGATTCACACCTCGACAAAGCTACAATTTGTTATATTTTGTAGATTCAGCAAGGGACTGGCTTCTCATCACACATAGTTAAATGGGAATAAACCAGAACTGACTTTATTTGCCCAGTCTATTAAGCCACAAGGCACAATTGTTGAGTTCATACACCACACCAAAAATAAACCTCATTATGGCTTAGCGAGAAGTGTGAATCCAGCTAATAGCTGTTGAAATTGCTTCATGTTTGCCCAATTCCTTACTTTGAAATACAATCCTGTCAATTCCTCTGCCCATGTGGGCATGACGGATACTTTTACTCACTGAAATGATTCATTGGTGATCACGGGAAGAAATACTGATCCAGTGAAAAGAAGACAGACTGGAGGGAAAGGTGTGTGAAGAAAGTTGTAACAACTATGTTATGTCTGTCTTTGCATGATACTCTTATTCTGGGCTGAAATGTGCTCAACTGGTTTATGGATTATGCAAAACCCAATGAAGGTATTTGCATAACACACTTAACCAGGGAAAAATTACTTACCAAGAGACCTGGAACCAGATTACCTAGTCCTAGCCAAATGGAGGACAATCTGTTTTTTAGAGTGCAGCCATTTTGATTAACAATCCACCAGCTTTGCAGAGCTTGCCTGGCTGTTTCTTTCTGTTTTTTAAAAAGGAACAGTTAAAAGTGTTTTTTTA